GAAAGTTATTTTTTCTCGCTGCAAGAAATAATGTGACATCATGTTTGAATTAAAAAATAACGTGTTCATCTTCCAACATGAGTGAGGGACGTTTCCTACACCCAGATTAAAAGTGCGTGAAGTGTTTTTATTAGATCAATGCGGAGCGTGTGGTCAGGATGATTGTTGGTGTACTGCTATATATACAAGTGATTGTGCTTTTGAACAGTGGTGCGGTATTTCAATGTTATTTAAGAGACACTTTCTCAAGATAATAATATGCACATACATGAACGAGTTTCACTCTGCTTGTTTCACAAGCACAAGATAAAGTGTTTCCTCTGCAGAGAAAAGCTCCATCTTAACACATGGTAATTTAGCCTTTATAATAAAAATCCACCCAAGTGCAGGAGATGACTGGTTTATGGCACGTTGCCTCAGACACACACACCCATTACGTACATTGCAGTTTGTTTGAGCAATGTGCCTGGTACAGCATCCTTTTTTTTTCCTCCTCTGTGAAACTACCAGAAGTGGATTCCGACAACTTCTAAATATACTTACACCGTGTGCTTTCGATCATCTGCATAAAAACTGAGCCCAGACAAGAAATGCAAAGTCTAAATTCATGCTGCCCTGGTTTAATTCATATTTACAGACTTGTGACAAATGGGAAGACAGTCCCCCCGTCGCTGATTGGTTTTGAACAGTATGGAAATGATGTTAAACATGCGATGGCCTTCGTGGTCTCCCGAGGGACCACCGTGTTCGACACCTCTCTCTAAGTTCATCATCAAAACGCTGAATGTTTTGTTTTGAAGGAATGGCGTTCATCGCTCCGGCAGAGTTCAGACACTTGGAGAATCAGTGCTGAGAAGCATTGAGGCTGTTTTGGTGGCTCATGGTGACTCAGCATTTCACTTGTCTTGGGTGGAGTGTACAAGTTTATAAAATATATCTCATGTAGACAGCAGTAGATTAAAAGAGGAGCATGTTTAGTGCATCGGACATTTGTTTTTGAATAAACATGGCTGAAACGCTTCCATGTATGCAAACCACTGTAACATTCACTGTAAGATACTTCTGTCAGAGTCAAGTATCTAACAGAGGTTTGAGTAACGCTGTTCTTTTACTGAACATCTTTATATCTGTGTCATTTCTGTGCAGATGAAACTTCATCAGTGTGATCATCTCACTTCAGCTTGTTTTTTAGGACACTGACAGTTGCTAATTTACACAAAGTACAACAGGCTGATGTGGACATCGTTTGTTTTGAGGATAATTGAACATCAGTCAAAGTTCTGAAAGTTTGCAAAGAATGTCAGCACCATTGTGTGTGTGTGTGTGTGTGTGTCCGTCCAATAGCTGCAGGACATTTCACTCTCTGAATCCTAAATGTCAAACTCACGGTGGCCTGAGATTAGAAGCCACAAGCAGAAATGAAGTCAGCGTCGAGTGGACCATGGATCTTCCTGTAGTCTCAGATGTCAGCAGTGGACTTGCTGGGTTAAATGTCAATCACACATATGATGATAAGTCTTCGGTAGTTAAGACACTTTACCCGCCCCTCCATCAGCATAGTGGCGAGTAGATGATGAGTGAACTATCCCTTTAAAGGGACACACAAATCCAGACCATATCATCAAGTGAATCTGCTAATGCAGAGGTTTTGTCGATAGGAGCTGCAGAGAGTTGCCTTCATAACAACACCACCCACTCATGTCCTTTTCAAACATGAATTTCAAATCACTCTGATCAGAATATCCTTTGTGGTTCAGTCACTCAACACAGTCAAGTTGTCAGAGAGGACAAAGAGACGAAGAACACCTCAGCTGAGTGAATCACGTTCAGACTCCTGGCTGAATTTTATTGTGAAGGAAATTAATATTGACTGGCGCAGCTTCTCTCTGTATAATCTGAGAGGCTCCTGTGAGAAGTGCAGGGGCGGCAATGACTGCACAACACTGAAAAGAGTGCCGTGAGATTCAGGCCTGACTTCCGATCCCTCCATAGAATCATGGATATCAGTAATAAACTGGTGTCCAGAGCAGGGCAGCACGCTGCGGTGGTGGTTTGCACTGTTGCCTCTCTCTGCATGTTTTCTCCAGCTTCCTCCCACACTTGAACTATGCTGCCATAGCTCTAGTGCGTCAGGGAGGAGATGACACATGGAGCCTCTCTCTCCTCCTCCTCCTCTTCATCACATTAACGTCTCATCAGTACTCATCGCGGACTTGACGTCTTCCTTGTGCTTCATCGTTTGCAGATCCAGGACTGCAGCTGCGGCCACATCGTGGATCTTTGTGGATTGTGGATCATGGTGGCATCCGATCGTGGACTATGATTATAACAGGACTACAATACGCCTGCTCACATATTCTAGCACTGCTGACGATAACTCCTCAATTCATTCGTCACTGCTGCTCCCTTCATCTCTATCAGACATTTTCTTTTGTACAAATACTTTGACACAAACATTGATGTGTTGTAAATACTGTACATCGGAGTACTATTACATGTGGCATCCATTGCACTTTTGTCCGTCCTAGGAGAGGGATCCCTCACATGTGGCTCTCTGAGGTTTCTACGTTCTACGGACAAAGGATGTCGCACCTTGTCCAGGGTTTATCCCACTTCTCGTCCAACGTCAGCTTCCATTAAAACGAATACGATAATGGTTAAATCTTTCCCCTTCAGAACATTTGACATGAAAGTCATATCTATGCTTTCTTGAGGATGAATCCAAGCGTCTAGGAGACTCTACTCTTCACTCAGAGACAAACGGCTCATCTATTAGTCCAGAAGTTGTAAAATTCACTCACCACATTCAGTATATGGGTCAACATACGTTTACACCTGTTTCTTTTATCAATAACCTCAGAATGGAGCTGTCAATGGTGTTTACTACTGAACTCCATGCAGTAGTTTTCTTTCCAGAATCCTAACTACGTTGTTCATCAGCCCAGTGTAAACACAATCTTACCCGAAGCAGTGATGAATCACAGCATTCATTGATTTCGCTGATTTGAAACTGTTTGTAAAAGTACAAAGTGACGGATGATCCACTCAGAAAATGTTTTTTTGTCATCGACTTTTCAACAACATTTTTCATTTCATTTTAAGCGACTTGTTATAAACATTTTATTTGACAATGTTTGCACGATGTGTCACAACATCAAGTTAGTGTTGAAATGGATGCTGTGCCTAAAAGAACTCAGATTAACAATTATGCTGGAGGGTCTGCTGGTGTCCGTGCCGATGTGTTTTTCAGATGCTGCTAAAGTTGAGCCGGTTTGAATTCAAGAAGTTTCAGAGGATGCTGGTGCACTGGTTCCCCTGCAGTTCCAACACTGTGGTCTCGATGTAATGGATGAGCGTGTTTGTTGGAAAAGTAAAGAGTAAGTACAACTGTCAACTAAATGTAATGGAGAAAAAAAAAAAGATATTTCCCTCTGAGTTTAGTGGGAGGATGTCTTTCTGACAGAGCAGCAGCTCAAGGCACGCATGCCGCCTCCAGTTGTTGACGCCCGTTTCCTTTTGAATGGAACACCATTTGTTATTGACTTACTGCAGTGAGAATAAACACACGCTGCTGGTTTTGTTTCTGTTCTCATGAAGTCAAAAAAAAAAAAAAATTGCCAGAACGTATACCCACCTCAGCAAGTCGGAAGACGCAGCTGGCGAACACTTAACAGCCGGCTAAGAGACTTTTTATATTCTTGTTTGAGGATTTTTCGCCCACTCTTCCCTGCAGATCACTTCACAGAGATATTTCCTACGCCACAAAACAAAAAAAATAAACATTTCCACCTCTCATACAGTTTAAAAGTGTTGTTTTTAATAAAATGCTGTTCCCTTATTTATCTGAAAGTTTTCCATAGTTTGTCTCAACTTCCACAGTTTCCCTTCACTGACACTTCTTTATGACATCTCAGTTTTTTGTACCCTTCCTCTGCTTTGTGGGCAACAATTAAAAATCATTTTAATCTAGCATGTGATCATGATAAATTAAAAAATATCTGTTTTTTTTAGCATAAAACACAAAATACAGCTTTGGCTGTTGGGAATACCACAGTTTTAAAAAGGTATCTGGTCAGAAACTTGAGTATTATGAGCAAACCAGGAGTTAAATCAGAGATCAGATCAGATCAGAGCCATTTGGTTCCTAAACATTCTCCTCATGTCTGTTTGCAAAGACAACAATATATTGGTTTAGCCAGTCTGTGATAGATGGGTGATTTGCTGTATTAGCATTGGAATCGTTTTTTAAAGTTTTGATTTAGCACTGGGGCATTCACACATGTACCTAGAGCTGTCCACTTGAGATGGGATCATATGAGACACATGTTGATGGACACTTTGTCCGTCTGAAGCTGTCTCACCATCCCCAAAGACAGACCAGGATCTCAGAAATGCTAATAACATGTCTGCATTCAGATAACAACAACACTTCATATAACATTTATCAAGCAAACTTTCATTACACGCAGACGAGTCCGATCCAGACAATGAGTTTAACCACCCACTGTACACACAGACAAAGCAAGGGGAGTGAGCAGACTGAGCTTTTATCCGCAAACATCTTCCTGAAGCAAAGGTAATCCTGTCCCCTCTCAGCGAGCCCACATCTATCTGACAGGCAAAGAGCGGCCATTAAACCAGGCAACAATAGAGCCACAGAGGGAGAATGAAGCAGCTAATCCTCCAGCAATTCCTGTGCAGAGGAGAGCGGTTAAACAGAGCCATTAACGCAGCAGGGGCAGAGTGTGGAGACGACTCCTCAGGTCGGAGCGGTCTCTCTGACACGGCCACTGGAGCCACGCATTATCATGGCCACATGACACTGGCCACCACCGCCACCGCTGCCGCCTGCACACTCTCTCCCTGAACTGAGCAGGGGGACGAGTTGTTCATTATTCATGAGTCTTCGGGTATTCATTAAATGTTCCTGAGCAGACTCTTGTCCTGTTGGTATGGCCAGTCATCATGAATATTTACACGAGGTGCTTGATATTTAAAGGATGTATGACTCAGAATACATCGCCAGCAATGAATGCCAGGTAAATAGCAACGGAGTAGCACTCAAGTCTTTGGGAGCGCTGCCTGGTTCGGCCTGACCTTTTCACAAACCAAGCTTATGTCCTGGATTTTCTGCCTGACGATCTATTCCGGCAGCCAAGTCACACAGAAAGCTGATTGTCAGCAAGAGCGATAGGAACGTACGTCGAATATCTTCAACTCCGAATCCATGCTGGAATTCAAACATTAGTGAGCAGCTCCTACACGTGTAAACTGTTGAATCGTTGTAAAATGCAGAATTTAACTGCACAGCAACTGTTAGCAAAGACAACAGGGTCAGCGGCGCTTGTAATTGAATACCTGTGTTGTGTTCTACGCTGGTATCTGAGGCCAGTGATGATTGTTTTGTTCAGGAAGGGGATGACGTGTCGTGACTTTGGATTCTTAGATAAAGAGTTTTTGTTGGACATTTTTCTTTGTGGACATTTTTCTTTCTTTGTGGCAGAAGTAAAGTCAGCTGCAAGTTTGCTGGATCCACTTTGCTCAAATATTATTTGATCTTTTTCCAGATTTTTATCCAAGACAGCAGGATGAAAAAAGGAAATTCCACTCATAATGAATAAAAAAAAAATTCATTATGCTAAACTTTTTATCATAGCATTTAGTTTAGCAATAATATGACTGATGTGATGAACGTCGTAATGATAATACGTAAAGTTTTTGATAAAGAAATAGTACGAACACACATTTTGAACGGCATCAAACAATATGACATCATCCAGGCTGTATGCAAATGAGTTTACTCCCACAGCCACAATCAGATGATGCAAAACCTCACTGTGCTGTAAACGTACAATAACAATAAATCACAATACAGACAAGGTGATCAGTCACCATGACTGTTATGACAGTGAGATGACCAGCTGGTCCCGCCGCTGTGCGGGCGGAGGAGTGATTTAATTAGCACTGCTGCGTGAACAGCAGTCCGTGTTTGTCAGGCTGCTGCGGAAATAAAGTCTCAGTCCTTCACACTGGGCATTATGTTGTGAAGCTGCTCAGATGTTTGGTAAAATGCAGGCAGAAGGTGGTCACAAGCAGCAGATGTCAACCTGAACAATGTGACACAGTCCAGCTCCCACTGTTTTTCACAGCAAATGGAGTTGAAGTGCTTTTTAAAATTCTAGTTTATACCACTACTCCAACAACTGGAGATATTGGATTGATTGGTTAAAAATAAAAATAAAAAATCCCCAAACCACAAACATCAGCCTGAGCATGTGTCCTCGTTTATTATTCAAGCTGTCAGAGTCACTCCATCAGAGGACGACGAGGACATTTAACGCTGCAGAAACATCCTTTTTCTAACTGCTTCCAGGATCTCTGATGTCAGGGACAGTGGCGGTGGAAATGCCCTGACGCTGCATTTTCTCCCCTGCTGCACAGCAGAGGGGTGATTTTGAAAACGAAGAGTCACTTTACATCCGCAGCTGAGGGACGTGGACTGCTGGGGCCTCAGCGGCACACCCCCACACCATGTGCCCGGAGAGAATTAACCTTCACTACCGGCAGATGGTGATTTCAGTGTCCCAGATCATAAACAGCAACACGGTGTCTCATTCAGTCTTTCAGTGGAGCTGTGGAGAATCTTAAGTCAGACTAGGTCCCGCAAAAGAGATTTTTTAATATTAAAACATAAAAAAATGTCCAAAAATGTATGACAGACACGGTGCATGCATGCATTTAGTTTTTTTTTTCTTTCTCGTGGAAGACAGATCAAAAGCACAGGATCAATATTGCAAACGTGGTCTTGTGAGAAGTTTCAGTTTTAGTCCTAAATGTTCAGAAATAGTGGGATTGGCAGGTTGTTATTAAACCTGGAATATCAACTATCACTTTAAAACATTAGCTGACTGCATATGCAGAGCATTATATCAAACATAGCAGTCAGTTCACCAGCGCTACACCCAACACAAGTTCTCAATTCATTAATCATTTAGGGATCTTTCATCTGCGGCTTTCGATCCTCTATTAGATCTACAGTTGTATGGTAAATTTGTATTTTGACTACTTTGAAGTTTGGGCAGATATCAGGGTTCTGTTAGTGGTTCCCATCGTTATTCTGCACTGATGTGGTATGAATTTTCTATACAGAATAAAATCTATTAAATTCAGGAGAGCACTTTAAAAAATAGTATTTAATATATGTGTGTGTGATTTGTTCAGTAGCTCCAGCAGGTTTGTGGTACAGCCAACCTCAAATGCTAATTATTTTCATTTGCACACCTCAGTATCTTGAATTTTCTAAAGAGAGAGTTAAAAAAAAATCAAAAATCAAAAAGATGCTTTACACATACTATCACGGTTTGACTCCTGCTCTACAATCTTTCTCTGTGTTCTCCTTTGTTCTTCCTTTCTTCTTGGCTGTTGTGCCCCAAATCAGCACATGTTGATCTTCACACTGAGGTGGAATAACTGGAAAACAGTGGCTCTCTGAAAGTTTGTAAAACAAAAACAAATCTAAACCACTGTAGCATCTTTTGGAAAGTGGTTAGCAGCGTAGAGTTATATGTAGTTTCAACTAAATCACTGAAACATGCAACATTACTGATATTTGTGCGGAGGTAATGTTGTGTGGTATAATGTCGCAGGATGGAAACTGTGGGGAGGTTCACACTTTGTGTGTGTGCGACACGGTGGAACAGCGGGGTGTTTGACCATCTGACCCTCTGCATGTCTGTCCTGTCTCACCATCCATCTGCTCAGCCTGCTGTCCAGAACAGAGGCCATTACCCACACGGCCCGTTGTTTACCCACAATCCATCTAACATCACATACTCCAGGTGTGGTTACAACCTCTTCCATCAAAGGCACTTATAATGTGAGCGTTTCAAAGACACAGTATTTACATCATGGCCGCTGTATTCATGTCCCATTGGGGTCATTGAGAGTTCATCTTGTATACCAATGTTTACCTATTGATTTATTTATTCACACGGTTTCTAGTCAGTAACATTTTTCAAATCCCTCACATGAAAAATACTGTTTACATTCCATTCACATGCAGCTACGATAGATTTCTTTAAAATAATATCTGTCCCACAACTTTACTGATTTACTGATGCCCTCATTGCTCTTCTGGTCTTGTTTTTTTTTTGCTGCAGCAGCCACCTTTAATTTAGCAAAAGAGCCCAGAACACCCACTGGGCTCCACCTGTTCTCCACCAAACACTGTTTGCAATAAGAGGGTGAAAATAGTGGGTAAACTGACATTAAAAATATTTGTTATCAGTTATATTAATGTTTAAAATAATGTGTACAACCTTAAGACTTATTTTGTGGTTTCTGTCCCATGGTTTGACTAAAAACACCCCAATGAGAACCAATGATAGTTGTGCTCCTGCCACGGGGCTCTCACCACAGCAGCCAGAGACGAACCATTCGGGTTTCAACATGATTTTATAAAACAAACCTAAACTTACTCAACTTAAGGGGTCCAGCACTTTCCGCTGGACATCTAGATTTGCGGCTGTGTCTCATGCTCTGTCTCCGTGAAGTCTCAAGTGTCAGCTCAGTCGCTGCCTTTTAAACCAGAGGAACAATCAGCTCACAGCTCTCTGCTGCTGATTGAACCTCTGGTGCAGGAGAAGGTGCTCTCTCACCTCCACGTTGTCCTGAAACTTAAAAACCTAAAGTCTTATTCACAAGGTCCATTAAATGTGCCACAATCAATGTCCTTTCTCTCAAGGCTAACACTCATGTTTATTCAGCAGGTCATTCACACAGGAGCTCCTTACTGTCACAGAGTATTTTGCAGGCTTTTAAAGTGAACAGAATTAATGTTGGGAATTCAGGAGAAGCAATAAAGTCCATTAATAAAGGGGGCAGTATGTTGGAATGTGGAGGAAGATCATTAGTCATCCGCCAACAACAATATTCTAACAGAGCTTGTTCTAAATTACTCCTGTTTATCAGCATGATGTTGTGTTTCCGCTGTGATCTCAGCAGCCACCTGATAATCTCCATTTAGACCCTCAACGTTTAGGAACGTTAACATTTTAGGTATTGAAACTTCTCAACGTGGATATTTTGATATTGGCCAGCGATGATTTCGCCCTGACTTCATTACTTCACAGTGAAGGAACATGCCATCCTCCAAGCTTTATATTAACCCATGCAGTTGCAGCCGTTGATTGTTTTTCAAATTTGGCCACAAACATTCACAATCCTTCCATTTGGTTTGTCGGGTTCGGCTCGTCCAAAGAAAGAAACTGAATTTTTCCACTGTAATTATGCTCATAAAATAAGCCCCGTCCTTAGTCAATGTTTATCATTCAATGATCATTCACACTGAAACAACAGGAAAACCACGTAACCAGCATTGCATCAAGAATAAATTAGAGTTGTATCTCTTCCTCCTCTCGTTCAGGTCAAGCTGTTGTTGTGGAAGAGATGCTGCCTCACCTCGGTATTCTTCTGTCGAAGAGGTCAACGGGGATGAGCTATCGCAACGCTGATCAATTGCAAATGAGAACTCTTCAGACTGAGGCTCCAGCTGTCCACAGAATTAGAGGAGGAAAAAAATCAATGAATGAATGCTTTGAATCTTTCAACACCCATCAGAGAAAAAGTCCTGTGCCTGTGTCTCCCTGTGTTTTGGTCAAATTAAAAGACAAGACAATTTTTCTTTAAGTGTGTGCAGAGTGCGTACGGTACTCTTGAAATGTAAATGATCCAATGATGCACTAGAATTTGTTTTTAAAGAGAGAATCTGGATTTCTATTATAACAAAGTGAATTGAGCTAATAACATGGATGGCTGTGTTATTTTCAAGTGTCACAGTAACCCCTAACAGTATAACGGTGAGCCAGCAGTAGAACAGAAACAGACATTGGTCTTTTTATTATTTACTTGTGCAGAGCCTGTTCATGATGTTCTGTTCTCTTGTCCTGTATTGATGCTCTGGAGCTACTTCAGATTTATTCCTTATCATTAGTGAGTCCTCCTCAAACAGTCTGTGGTGCAGAGTGAAGTTAGAAAGTTTGTGTTCATCCTACCTGGTTAATGTGCAATGAAGATTTTACAGACAACGTTTGTTTTTGTTTTTTTGAATGAAACTGAATTTTCTTTATTACTGTTCACGTGTGTGGTTTATATTTAAGTTTGAATGATTGACTTGTGTTATTTTTTCATACATTGCAAGTCAACCACAGAGTGTTACCAAGAACTATCATCAGACCCAAGTTCAGACCCAGCTGTACATCATGTTTACAGACAATTGCCAATGTAAGCATGCTAATAGGCTAATCTTTGATGCTAATCATGGTAAACATTGTATACTTGTGTTAGCATTTAGCTCAAAACAATGGATTTGTGCTGAAGAATAGCCTCACAGAGCTAGCTAGCTTCTAGCCTGCATGTCTGTAGACTCTCAGTATTGTTTTAAAAAGGTTTCTTCTCTCTGAAAGGTAAAAACATGGTTCTGAAGGTTTTATTTTACCATTCACCCCACTGCTGTTGGGAAGTATTTTGCAATTCCAATTTCTTATTTCTTTTATTAGCACATTATTATTAATAATTCTTATGATTAGTGTTATTATCATTACTGCTGTATTTATAAATATTGTATATATAAGAATAAATCATGGATCTTTCGGAAGAAAAGTTATTACAAAAATAAACAGATGATGCAGATGAAAACTTGTATGAAAAACTTATCAGAGGAATCAATACACCTATTCTAAGGTATCCACTCAATTATGAAGTATACACTGTATGAAACTCAATGTGAATAAAAAGTGTAATATATTTATAAATCACTCCAGCGCCTCAGTTTTGCGATCATGAATTTTTTAACTTGATGAGGATAAAGGTCAAATTAACAACAGTATATTCCCCCTGCACCGACCCTTTGGACTTTGCCCGACTATTCATCGTTATGTAAGTGAGCAAAAGTTTAACTATGGAGGGAGGACAACAACAGCACTGTGCAATTTTGAAGGGCTACTCATGAAACTGTTTCCTCTTGTTTTCTGTTGTGAACACTCGCTCGGTCCTTGTCACACACAACTAGAACCTTTGGGCCGCTTTAACAAAGAACTTGGAGTATTGATGATTTCTTTCCCTCTCAGTTGTCGACAGTTAAATAAAGAACAACTGATAGAAAAATCATTTTGAGCTCTTGCTCTGTCCTCTTGTCCTTGGTCTTGTTAGTTTTGGCAAATTTGTTAAAAATGCAGTGTATCGGCAACATAATCTTCTCCTGCTTATTCTT